CAATGTCTGATTACTCTCTCTGTAAAAAATCTCTTCCTAATATCCAACCTAACCTCCCCTGGCAGAGCTTGAGTCTGTGCCCTCTTGTCCTACTTCTAGTTGCCTGGGAGAAGAGAACAACCCCCACCTGACTCCAGCCTCCTCTCCTTTCAGTGTAGAGGATGATAAGGTCACCCCTGAATCTCCTCTTCTTCAGGCTAAGCAATCCCAACTGCCTTAGCCTCTCCCCATAGCACTTGTGCTCGAGTCCCTTCACCAGCCTCATTGCTCTTCTCTGGACCTGCTCCAGCACCTCAATATCCTTCCTGAACTGAGGGGCCCAGAACTGCACACAGTACTCAAGATGTGGCCTCACCAATGCCAAGTACAGGGGCAGAATCATCTCCTCTTCTTCAGGCTAAGCAATCCCAACTGCCTTAGCCTCTCCCCATAGCACTTGTGCTCGAGTCCCTTCACCAGCCTCATTGCTCTTCTCTGGACCTGCTCCAGCACCTCAATATCCTTCCTGAACTGAGGGGCCCAGAACTGCACACAGTACTCAAGATGTGGCCTCACCAATGCCAAGTACAGGGGCAGAATCACCTCTCTGGTCCTGTTGACCACGCTGTTCCTGATACAGGCCAGTGACAGGACAGGTTTCAGGATGCAGGAGAAAGGGTCAGGGATCAGTCAAAACTCCCCAGCCCCATGACCAATGGTCCTCCCACCCCCATGACCAATGGTCTTCCCACCTTGTGCTGCTAGTGCATGCTGCAAAATGCAGGTCTCAGCTATTCCTAAGCAAAAGTCCCTTCCTCTCCCCAAACTAGCTCCTCCCTGCAGCAAAGGTACCCCACATCAGGGAGCAGCCTTATGCCCATTTGTGATTTCACTGGACAGAGACAGTGACAGGCACAGAGCCCTGATGTATTTAGTTCATAGAGGTGCACTTCTTCCACCACATGAACAACACAGAGGTCACACCACTTGTCTAGTGTGATACTGCATGAAGAACTGTGCCATACTCCAGCTGGTTTCTAAACACAAAGGCACTTGTGTCTGCTAGCACAAGCAGCCTGCACTAACCTGTGAAGCTCCCTGCAGAAAGCTGTGCTGACCCTCACCTGGTCTCAAAGGAAGGGAAAAAACCCCCAAAGAAACCAAAACCGAAAAATACTTTTCCCAACGCAGAGGATGGGACCCTATTTCTGAGGGCATCAAGATATCCACTGTAATACTTTTCCAGTAAGCATTTCTCAGCACTACTCACAGTGCTCCTGCTTTCCCCAAGTGAGCACACCTTTCTATTTAACTTGCTATTACAGAAACAAGTTTTGACACTGAGACCCAGCCTGTCCTGGGCTCCTGAGGGGCAGCCCAGTCAAGGTAAGTGAGCACACATCCAAAAGTCCAGTGTCTCTGAAGGTGAAGACTGCCCAAGGCTGCCCAAGGAAGAGGATCTCACCAAGCCAGGGCTATGCTAGCAAACACTCACTCCGGAGGATGCAGGCAAAGGAGAGTTGCAGTCTGCAGGGAGCAAACATGAATCTCTGTGTAGAAAGCACTTACCCCAAGTCCCTGCCCATGTTACTGCTGCTGCAATATCCACCTGAGCAGCCAGCCTGGCACCCTGCACACCACTCTGCCTCACCTGGGAGAAGTTCAGCCCATTCAGTGGGTGACACTGCTCCTCCACTTTCTCCACAGCACCCGTTTGTTTCCTCAGTCGCTCCGCTTCCTGGGCCAGATAAAGATCCAGGACAGGCACGCCTCGTGACTTAATGTCTACCTCTGTCAGAGAGTTCACCATCAGCATCACCCATACAGGCCTCTTCCGCTCCCAGTTGCCAGCAATGGCATTGAAGAGGTAGTCTGCATACAGCCCTTTGCCCCGCTGGTCTGGGGTCATCCAGGATGGCATCATGAGCTTGACATACTCCAGGTGTCGCTTGAGCCGGCGGTAGATGTCATGGGGCAGCACATCCTGGAGGTTCTCACCCTGTGGCAGGAGTTGGCAACTGGTGAGAGCTGAGATGGTGTAGGGGTCAGTGAGGTCCAGCTCAAAGTACACAACATGGCTCTGCTGGAAGGCCTTCTTGGAGTTCTCTGGGATGAAATCCCAGACACGTGTGTATGGGACATGGATGGTGCCAAAGAAATAAGAAGGGGGATCTCTCTTGATGGTCCACAGGAAGGAGTTCAAGTCATTTTGCTGGGAGAGAGGGAGACACAGCTGAGTAAGTATACACATTTACACCAGGCCACTGCAGTACAGAACTTAAGAAAAACAGGGTACCAAGCCAGCAGGTCACCTGGCTCAGCAGCTTGCCAGCATGAACTTTTCATAAAGTGGCTTTGCTCACACAGAATCCTCTTTGACCATCAGGTCTTGAGGTCAAAATTCAAATTTCATTAAATTTGAAAATTTGAAAAACTAAAACACAAGAAGATTGGATTTGGCTTTCTCCTCCTGAAAGGTAGCACTGAGTCTTCTCAACAGTAACACCATCAGGTATATCACCTGGGTATTTACCAAAACCAGCAGCGGAGCACAGCCCTGGCACGTTATGCTCCAGGAAAGATGTTTATCCACCTCCTGCCTTTTATCAAGTCAAAAGTTGGCATCACCTCACTGAAGCAGAGCAGGACAGCAGGGTTTCGACCACCTTCACCTCTCACTTCAGCACAGCAAGGCACCTTTCACCAAAGAAACTGCTGTGACACTTAGAGAACTTTCTACTCTGAGTGAGTGTGCTGGTTTTGGTTGCAGTGGAGCTAATTTTCTTCACAGTAGCTAGTATGGGGTTGTGTTTTGGATTTGTGCTAAAAACAGTGTTGATAATATGAAGATATTTTTGTTATTGCTGAGCAGTGAACGCACAGAGCCAAGGCCTCTTCTGCATCTTGTACAACCAGATCACCAAAGATCCTGGTAGTGCACAAGAAATGGGGAGGGGATACAGGCAGGACAGCTGACCCCTAATGACCAAAGGCATATCCCATACCATCTGGCTAATAAGATAGGGGGGGACATTCAGAGTGATGAGGTTTGCCTTCCCAAGTAAATGTTAGGCATGATGGAGTCCAGCTTTCCTGGCAATGGTTGGACATTTGCCTACCCATGGGAAGTGGTGAATGAATTCCTTGTTTTGTTTAGCTTGTGCATGGCTTTTGCTTTACCTATTAAACTGCCTTTTCCCACTTTTACCCTTCTGAGCCCCTTCCCCATCCCATGGAAAAAGGATTCAATGAGTGGCTGCATGGTGCTTGGTTGCCAGCTGGGGTTAATCCACAACAGCAATGCACCAAGAAAATGAGTAACACAAAACACAGCTGGCAGGCAGACTTGCTGGAGCAGGCAGAAATACAGTTTTACAGGGATGTAGCACATGGCAGACAGACACACAGTCAAGACCCTTGACAGCCCAGTTCTTTTTCAAGAAGCAGCAAACAGCATGCAATACCTTGGAAAATAAGGGAATAAAACCTGCAGGCCAAACTTGGCTTGTGATTCCAGGGCATGTGCTTTTAAACATGGTGCAGGAAAAAGCTTATTTCTTTAGATTAGCTTTTAAAATATCTCAAAACCCACAGCCATCAGAAAGTCAGAATCTGATTTAAATGTGTTTTGCTGAAAATGTACCTCACAGCTGAGGAATACCGCAGTACAGGGCTGTGGTGTTCCCACAGGACAGAAGAGCAGATGGGGCAAAATGGTTCCTGCTCAGATCCTTCCAGCTCACTTTACACCTGCAGTAGGCACAACCTCCATCACCTAAAGCCTGCACCTCACTGGTGCAGTGATACTTACTGGAGCAATGGACACAAACAGTTGCTGTCTGCACGGACAGGAAGAGGCAGCCTTTGCATGGTTAAGTAAGAGAACAGGCTTCCAGATGCACTCAAACATCTGGTTAGTCTTGAGCCAGCAGATAACTCTAACCTCAGTACAGAGGCTAAGTGTGCATGTGTGCTGATTTAAGAAGCCTGCCTGACTGCCAAATGCAGATCAGGCTACTTGGAAAAATTTAGTGGAAGCACATTGCCTATAAATTTCTGATAGTAAAGACACAGGATCAGAAAGGTTAATCTTAAAGACTGCTCTGCACTGGCTCATCCCAGGCAATCTTCTCCAGCAGCTCAAACCAAGGCCACAGATCAGGCAACTCTTCAGCAAAATGCTACCACCAGTGCAGCTTACTAGCATGGACCATAGAATCATAGAATATCCTGAGTTAAAGGAACCAATAGGGATCATTGAAGTCCAACTCCTGGTGCTGCACAGTTCAGCCCCAAGAATCATATCATGTGCTTGAGAGCATTGTCCAAACCAAATATATCCCAAGGGGCTCTTTGGACACTTCAGCAGCATGCCAAGAATCTGAAGGATACTTCAGACCTTCGTAACACCATGCTACAGCTCCATATCCTGTAGGACAGTCCTGGAATGCACACCTGAAGACCATAAAACATGGGAAGAAGGAAGAACAATCATGAAGAACACCAACAGGAAAAGAAGATACAAGGCAATGGGCAAGTACAGATTTGACACAGACCCAAGAAGAATATAGGAAAACAAATATGCAAAGTAAAACAAGAGGGAAAATGAGACAGGGTTCCCTCTATCATTAGTTAGAGGAGGAAAATGAAAGGACACACCACTGTAGTAAGAAATGAACTGCAAGTAGTCGTTAGCCAGAAAGAAGGAAGGACTACATCTACTTCTATCTACTGCAAGTATAAAGACAGAAGAGGCATATAGGACAGGCCCAAGGTCAGGATGTCAATGTTCCTTCACTCCACACAAGTCTGATCATGTATGTGGGAGTGCACAAGAACAGCTATGACTGCAAGGAATTGTATGGAACAAGTAGTCACTAGCCAGCTTAAAACTTCAGTTCAGTTCCTCAATAAACCCAGACAGAAGGCTCAAGCCCAGATCAATGGTACCAGGTTTTAACATGGAACATCAGAGCTACTCTAAACTACTGCACACAACCCAGCTAGAAAGGCATTTGGAATTACACTCTTCTTTTTTGCTTTGCATATCCCCCCAGCTTGCATAACCAGATACTGAAAGCAGAGTAATACTGCCAGCTATTAGTGGTACCACTGAGGAAATCACACAGGCCATCAGGCACAGAGTAAATTAAATCTTCCTTTAAAGATCCTGTAGCACAAGCAGAAGAAAGCAGGCCGAGTCCTAGCAGAAATTTTCACATAGTCTTTGAGACTGAGACCTTACAAAGCAGAGCAGCTGAGCACCTTTGGCACTTCCATGCCAACAGGAGCAGCCATGAATTTGGGATATCATCCCAAGCACCATTCAGACCTGTCTTCTCAGAATTGCTTGGAACCAGCATGAGAGGATGGAGAACAGGCCTCAGTTTCCCACAATTGATGGGAAATTTCCCCAGACCCCACAGAGTCAGTTTCCAGGCACCAGCAGTTGAGTACCATCACAAAGGGATGGTACAAGGGGAGCTTGTACCATCACTCTCCCTTCAAAAGGCAGCATTACAGCTGCTCAGGACATGCTAGTGCCTCACACTCCTTTGGCATCTCCTTTGTCTTCAGAAGGAGGAGACTGGAGTCCCAGCACTGCTCTGCCTCTGTGACAGACTTCTGCCAACAGCCTGCTACTGCTCTGTGTGAGGGAGGACAGGGCAAAGTACTTAGTGTGCCTGAGCAGATCTGTGCTTCTCCTACTGCACTCTCACATCCTTGTCCACCTCCTGAGGCTCCTGCATGTTTCACTGCAGCTTCAGAGACACAAAAGCAAGGATATAATCTCCCCCCAATACCATAAAAGGGAAGCTGTTAAACAGTGCTCTAGGTGGCTGTGATAAAGCACAGGAGCAGTGCCGAAGCTTGCTCAGCATCGCACCATACACCATCACTGGTGGTGCCTCACTTCCTTGAGAACACGTAGCAGATAAAGGTCCTACAACCCAGTTTTCCTTTGCAGAAGGATCCTTCAACACAGCTGTTACATCAAAAAGGCGTGCTTTAAAACCAACATCAATTACAGTCAAAGTGGTGTCCTGGAGGGTGAAGGCAGCTAAGCTGTACAGCTTGAGGAATTTCACTTTCAGCAGCATAACAACAAAACGTCAGGTTCACAAATAGATCAAGATGCATATTTCTGTCTCCACTCTTCAATTTACAGGTGGTATACAATACATTACTCATGGTGGGAGAAACTATGACAAGGAGAAAGAATGGGAGACCAGCAAGAGAGCACATATATCCTAACTTGCTGCCACACCAAGATCCGAGGCATCATCATATCAAGGTATTTCTGAATACTCAGCACTATGGCATGGTGCCTTCTTCCCTACATCATCTCCCCAGGTGGAAAAGAGCTGGATGTGAAATAACTCAGGGTATCAGCCCAGCCAAAAAATTGTTTGATACAAAAAAGGAGAAAGAAAAAGCCTTTTCCACAGCCAGCAGGAGAATGAGGGAGAAGGAAAAGGACATGCTTAGGCTCACACTGTCTCAAGAAAACACACTGGAACCTGTGGGATCCACTCCCTACCATGAGACTGGGAAAGCCTCCTTCTCAACCAGGGCTGCACAGAAGACAAACTCAACTGTCCACCATGAGATGCAATGGGGGCATATAAGGACAGACAACGTTTCCCCAGCAGTGTCAGCCATAGCAGAAATTCTGGTAAAGCATGGTGCACATCAAGTGTTTTTCCTCAAGGGCTGAGACTTCTTCTTTTAGGGTTTAAAAAACCCCAAGCCTCAGATTCTGTTAATTTGAGCTAGCCCCAACAGCTTGCTTTTCCAGCAGTATTTATAGGTTCAGTGGAGGATGCAACCTGTAGTCTTCAAATACACAAATACTGTTGCATTTGTCAGACATCATGCATCACTTCAGGTGAGGCAGCAATGACTCTTC